GACCTCAGATCTTGAAAATAAATTAAAGTAAACTTGTACGTTAAAACTGTGAACTCACAGCGAACCAACACGTGTATTTCATAACAAAGATATCAGTCAGTCACTCACTCACTCACTCGCTCACTCGCTCACTCAAAACTGTTCAGTCAATTCACATTTGAATAATCTTTTCCGTGTCCACTTTTCTTTTCTACACACGCTCGCCATGTTTTTGCTGTCACATCGTATCTACACTGGACTCGACAATGCATTGCAAATCATTTGAACGTTGTGTCAGTACATTATAAATAGAACGAGTCAGCAGTTTACTGTCGGGGATTTGTATCCAAGACAACATCACTGATTATAATGAGTTCTATTGTGTTTTATTGCGTCGCGCCGCTCGCGTCCGGTGTAGACACGGTGTAAGTTAATGTAGCTTTCTGATGCTGTGTTTGAATTTTCATGCCACATTATTTGAAATTAGCGGGGGCCAAACTTATTTCTCTCACGGGCCAGATGTGGCCCGCAGGCCGCCTATTGAGAAACCCTGTAATAGGGTAACATACAAACAACACATGCATATACCTGATACATGATTGATTATAGTCTAAATAAAAAAAAATGTCTTTATGTGTGTGTGTTATGTGTATTGTGAGCATGGTGTAGTTCGCTGGCCATCAGACATCTGGTGCCAGGTACTGAGGATGACTGTCTCCTAGGACACTGGAATGTGTTTGAAGTCGATGGGGAGACCAGAGAGTTGATCTGTTTAGCATCGTCTTGATAATGGGGGGAAAACCATTGGCAATTTAGCACCCATATAACTGTAGAATATGGGGCCAGGGCCCGGTTGCATAAAGCTGCAGTCCGTAACTTTTGGCGCTCTAGCGGTTAATAAACAGAATTGCGTGCGTCTTGCGGAAGAACATTGTAGCCGGAGCTACTTCTCTCTGTTTATGTCTATGGCGAATCACGCAGGTACTGGGCTACTCCGCAGCGGTACCTACCCGAACCAGTCTAAATAGTCAGAATTTAAACACTTATTATAGGTGTACCGTAGTGATTCAGGACAAGCAAAAAACACTGTTTGGAAAATGGATTCATAGTGTACTCGCTTATTATGGAAATTTTGTACATTTTGAACACAAAAAAGTTACGGACTGCAGCTTTAAGATCGCCCTTAAGTTTCCCTTACACTTAAGGGCGTTGCATAAAATATCCCTTAAAGGGGTCATATGATGCGATTTGAAGTTTTCCTTTCTCTTTTGAGTGTTACAAGCTCTTGGTGCATAAAGAAGATCTGTAAAGTTGCAAAGACTAAAGTCTCAAATCCAAAGAGATATTCTTTATAAAAGTTAAGAGCAGTGTTGCCAATTTGGGGATTTTGTCGACAAATTTAGCTACTTTCTCATTGTAGCTGCGACTTTTTTAAATTTTTTTGCGACAAGCTATTTTAGCTATATTTAAATAAAACTAGCGATTTTTGGGAGATTTTTTATTTTTTACTTGGCCACACCCTGCCGTAGGCCCGTGACCTCTCACGTTTGCTCTCAATCATGCCAGTAACGTTAGGTGCGTTCGACTTGAAGCACGGCTACAGACGGCAGTCAACGAGAGTAGCCGCTTGCAGTCGGGGGCGGAGTTGAAAACGGAGCCGTCAAGC